CTCAAGACAATCATCCCTATACTGGCCTTATACTCAAGAATGCTTGCTATTTTGGAGGGAGTTCTTATGCAACTAGTAGAGCCTTGGGACCTCATATTTAGGAAGCCAGAAAGCCCCCAAGAACGAGACGCGGAACACAAACTCCACGAGTAACTTGACTCCCCCAAACCCCTAACCCAAACCCCTAAACCCCTAAACCCCTAAACCCTAAACCCCTAAACCCCTAAACCCCTAAACCCCTAAACCCCTAAGCCCTAAACCCCTAACCCCTAAACGCCTAAACCCTAAACCCTGAACCCCTAAGCCCTCAACCTTAAACCTCTAAACCCTCAACCCTGAACCCCTAAACCCTAGACCCCTAAACCCTGCACCCTCAAACCCTAGACCCCCAAGCCCCTAAACCCTAACCCCCCCCACCCAGGCCGTCTTTCGATACCAGGGGCGAAGGGGGGCTCCCATGGGTAGACGAGCCAGTTCGGCGCACCCGGAAAGGCATCCAGGCCCGGCCGGTCCTGTGGGGTTTGGGTTCAGGTTCTTCAGGATTGGGGCCAAGGGCGTAGGGTCGAGCGTTTAGGGTTAGGTTTCAGGGTTAAGGGTTTAGGGCTTGCAGTAGAGTCTTTAAGGGCTCAAGAACTCTCCGACACACAGATACCCGTGTAACCACGAGCTTCGTGTGCATTCTTGTGAGTTCGCTTTGTATACTAAACCCTGAACCCTAAACCCTAAGCCCTAAACCCTAAACCCTAAACCCTAAATGTTCATTGAGAGTTTAGGGTTCAGGAGATCATCCCGCTCCATAGTATAAGCTTCGGGCTGCAGTCGGAGCTTGAGTTTCATGGTATGAAGCTTTTGCCAAAAAAAAACAGGTGGGGCACAGATAGCGACCCTACCATGTTGAAGGGCCTACGTACTGTAACTTACATGCCCGGGAATCCCTATACTTCCAGGGACCTCATCATTAAGAGGGGGGTTCTGGTAGCTGAAAACTTGCGAAGAGGTTACGGTGTAGGTTCGAAGTAGGGTCTGGGATTGGGTATGTTGTAGGTGTCAAGTCTGTGGGCCAACCGCGAAAGACCCATGTTGCGAGCTGAAGGGTTTAGGGTTTAGGGTTTAGGGTTTAGGGTTTAGGGTTTAGGGTGTAGGGTTTAGGGTGAACACTAGGCTGTTTCTTCATCGCGGGCGTCGGGGGGGGGGGGGGGGGGGGGGGGGGCGCGCAGGGGTCCTCCTGAAAGGCCGAGAACTGCGGCCGAATGTGTGCAAGGAAGGCACCTTTGCCAAGTCGGATCGAGCTGAAGCCACGGGGGGGCCATGAGTTGCTGACTGAAGGTTTAGGGTTTAGGGTTTAGGGTTTAGGGTTTAGGGTTTAGGGTTTAGGGTTTAGGGTTTGGGTTTAGGGCTGAAGCAGTAAGCGCGGCGCATATTCCGAACAGGAGGGGCAAGTCACGCGCATACTTCGACATTCCATGCCCTCGCACGGCCCAGGCTTCTTTGAGCATTTTCTACGGCGCAGGCAGATGGCCACTTCTTTGGGACATACGAAGTAACCCTAAACCCTAAACCCTAAACCCTAAACCCTAAACCCTAAACCCTAAATCAAACCCTAAAACCATGGTGGAGCTCTTCCCGTTACTGACCTGTCCACGATGTCTAGCCTGCAGTCCGACAGTGACTACCCCAGTCGGTCCATATATACCTTCTCATGCTTGGGCCAGAGCAGTCGTGGGCAAACACTATAAATCCTTCTACTTCAGGCACCTATAATAGCTAGGTTTCTGGACCCTTAAGGACTCATCAGGTCCCTGGAAGTACCCCTGGAAGCTTCATTAGGGAGCCCTAAACCCTCTAAGCGCAGTCCACAGCTTGCGGTCGCGGCATTCTTTGGCCAATCCCTCAATCCCCCGGAATGGCCCGAAATCCCATGCCTAATCCAAGGTCAGGACAGCTATGCAGATAAGGCCCTATACATTCCAAGGACTTCAGAGTTAGGTTCCTAAAACTCGTAAGGACTCAATGATTAGGTCCCTGGAAGTCTGGACGTATAGGGTAGGGTTCTAAGGGTGCTTGCGGGATCCCTAAACCCTAAACCCTAAACCCGAAACCCTAAACCTAAACCCTAGACGCTAAACCCTAAACCCTAAACCCGAACCCTCAACCCCAACCCCATAAAGACCACGGCCCGTGTTCACATCGTCACACAATTCAGAACGCATGCCAGTCGAGGGGGGCTCCTAAGCCTGTTTAGGGTTTAGGGTTTAGGGTTTAGGGTTTAGGGTTTAGGGTTTAGGGTTTAGGGTTTAGGTTTAGCGGCCTAGAACCCCGAGAATCCTCTCTCTTGAGCTTGCTGTTTCTTGATCTCGCTGGGAGCTCTGGTGCAAATCCACTGGAGACCCGTCGGGTGCAGCCCTTCCTACTAGTTACTAATTGCTTAAGAAATTCCCACCCAAAAAATACAAACGAATATTCCTTATTAAGGGCAAAGTAGGGATTATCATTTTTTCTTTTGGGGTTCTTAAACAAATAGTAGATTCCGCGGCCAGAGTGGGAGTCCCAGAAGCGGCCCTATAAGCCCTACAAACTTTGGTGGGCTCTAGGCATTGGGTAAGCTCTGCCATGAAGAAGAAAACATTTAGGGTGACATGCCAACTCCCTAAACCCCAAAACCCTTCACCTTAGACCCGAAAAACGCTAAGAACCTAGAAGCCCAAAGCCCTAGAAGCCCGAAGCCCTGGAAGCCCCAAATCCTAGAAGCCCAAGGCCTATGCCAGGAACAGCGAGGCACTGAAGAAGCCCTCTTGAGGCAGGCAATAAGAGCAAGGAAATCTTGAGACTCCTTTTTCTTTTTGGGGGATGCTTCGGGTGTGATTAGACCCTATAGATTGCAGTTGCCTTGTTTGGGGTTAAGACTCAGGGTTGAAAGCTTAGAGGCACTGAAAGTACTGGTGGTTCGTACCCCTGAACCCTAAACCCTAAACCCAAGATAACCACAAACACCTGACCGCTAATGACTGGGCCCTGCACCACAGGACTCGATGTCTCAAGAAGCTGAGAAGTGGAGTTGCGATTCGGGTTTCGGGCTTCGGGATGCTAATGCTAATGCATTCTCCGAGTGCGAACGCATGGCAGACTTGCCCACAATTCACCTAGTGGGCTAGGGGATCTGGTTTAGCATTCGTGCAATTCTCAAATTATGGTCTCTTTTTGGGTGCCCGAAACAAAAGCTCCGCAGTATAAGAGGAATCCCAGTTGGGTGCCACAATTTTGCAGAACCCCACCCCTTAGGGTTCGAGGCTCGTATATCACTAGTGCTGTGGCCATACTCTTTCAGGATTGTGGTAAGTCGCCACGCGGCGCTGTCCTATTGTTGACAGCCATCGTCTACGCCTGCTGCGGCCAACGAGCAAGAAGCGTGCTACGGCCTACGAGCAAGAAGCCTGAATTCCATGCTTGGTGCAAGTGCAGAAGCTGAGGCCAGCCCCAAAATGACAAAACTCAATCAACCCCAACCGTCTTACATCATGGGAAGTAAGGCTAGGACGGGTGGTACAAGCAGTACAAGTTTCCATATGGAGGAGTGGAACCGAGTCCATGTCAAGCCTATACTGTACCAGCATAACTGGCTAAACCTTAGTTTCGCAGTGCGGCCCCAGATACTGCTGGAAAATGCCCAAGGCAAAGCAGCAGCAAAACAACCGGCAAGAGGAGGGCTCCGAGGGCCCTCTAAAGGCTCACATCAACAAGAAACTTGTGGCGCACTGCGTATGGGGGTTGATCTGAATCTCAACGTCGTGAGCCCATGAAGGTTTAGGGTTTAGGGTTTAGGGTTTAGGGTTTCGGGTTTAGGGTTTAGGGTTTAGGGTTTAGGGTTTAAGGTTTAGGGTAGGGCCTCCATTTTAGAGATTCCTGTGGCGCCAACAAAAGCGGCAGACTATTGATTCAAGTGCCCACATATGGATCTTCTACTCCAATCTGGTCGTCTAAAATCTAAGGGTCCCTGGAATGACCCCTCCTAGACTGCCTAAACCCCAACAGGAACCGGCAGTCAGAAGAGCCTTCGCATGCGCATGCAGCGTGTGCGTTCCGGAGCTGAGGAGGCAAGGCCCACAGGGGGTTTAGGGATTAGAGTTTGAGATAACTTGGGATGTTCCCCCTTATACTCACAGTCCTTCATCTGATGTTCCCCCTTATACTGACAGTCCTTAATAGGATGTTCCCCCTTATACTAACAGGCCTTAATAGGATGTTCCCCCTGTTTCTAACAGTCCTTAATAGGATATTCCGCCTTATACTAACAGTCCTTAATCGTTCCCCTTAGACTAACAGGCTTTCATAGAGATTCCAAAAGGGATCCTAGAATCCCTATTAGGGGCTGTTCGTATATGCCGGTTGCAGCTCCTTTCTCTGGGAGAGAGGGGAAGAGCGGTGGGCGTACCTAAATTACTTATCTCTTAGGGTTTAGGGTTCAGGGTTCAGGGTTTAGGGTATACATCGAATTAAGCACCCCCAACAACAAGGAACTACAGTTTTGGGCCTTTGGGCCAAGGTAGGGCAAGAGTCCTTTAGGACCGTAAACGACCCTAAACCCTAAACCCTGAACTCCCAGAGTGCCCGGCCTCTGAGCATCACGGGAGCTGCGGTGAAACCATGAGACGAATTCGCAAACAAAAACAGTGCTTGGGCGGTATGACGTGGAGATCCTTCTTTGGCCTTCGGGGAAGAAAGGTGTAGCTCTAGGGTTTCGGGTTCAGGGTCTAGGGTTTAGGCGTTACGGTTTCGGGCTTTAGGGTTTTAACTTGGGCCTTAACGCGCCTCCTATATAGGGAGTTTGGGGCCCAAGTCTATAATAATGAGGTACATGGACCCTTAGGACCCTTAGGCTTTGCTGAAGTTTGCTTCAGGAATCTTGTACAAAGGGTGCTGATCAGGTCTTGGGGTGTCCCTGAAACCCGAAATCCCAAAAAACCCTAAACCCTAAACCCTAAAACCCCCAAAAGCCCCGCCGCCTAGCGCTTCATGGATCCCACCGACGACATGAAGGAGGACCTCGGTTGCTCAGATCAGATCTTGGGTTTTTTTTATAGAGCATTGGAGTTTAGGGTTTAGGGTTTAGGGTTTAGGGTTTGGGGTTTGGGGTTTAGGGTTTCCTCTTCTACCCCTACCGTGTCTGGAAAAACATTAAAAAAGGCCCATATGGGTATTTCCCCCCCCCCCCCCAAAAAAAAAAATGAAAAAAAGGGATCCCCGCCTAATACGCCCCGCACATACTGGAATTCCTTCAATAGGGGCCCACCGAAAAAGGGTCCCCCCACCCCTCTCAGGGTTCAAAATTAGGGTAAAAGGGTCCCCCCCCCCCCTATTTTCGGAAACCCTCCTGTGGCATGCTGGGGAACCTGATTCAATGAATCGCCCCTAAACCCTAAACCCTAAACCCTAAACCCTAAACCCTAAACCCTAAACCCTAAACCCTAAACCCTAGACCCTAGACCCTAGACCCTAGACCCTAGACCCTAGACCCTAGACCCTAGACCCTGAACCTCCTAATCCCTGAGCCCACAGCGCGCCGGGTGGCGCCTTCGAGCCTAGTCGGCCCTGGCGGCAGAGCATCAGGCGCTTTAGACCACGATGGAACTGCCGCTCAACCTCGGCAGGGTGCAGGGACCAATACTGCCAATACTTTCTTGAAGCCCTAAACCCTAAACCCTAAACCCTAAACCCTAAACCCCAAACCCTAAATCCTAAACCCTAAACCCTGTGCCAAAGTTCCAGAAGCCCTGAACCCTACATTCCATACCATTGTGCTGGGGAAGACCCCCAAAAGAAAGCTCTCCAGATGCTCAGCAACGAACAGGGAGCCACCAGGCTACGTATGCGTACTTTCTGAGTTCATGAGCCCCACAAACGTGCACACTGTACTCATTCAGTTACGAAGTAAGTCTACTTCGTGTCCCCCCTAGAAACCCTACCAAAATCCCAAGAACCCAGCTTACTTACGAAGTCAAATGGGATTCGAAGTTGAGCCCGTGGAGTTCTCATGTGTGAAGTGAATGCACCCCCCTCCCCCCCCCCCCGGCCGAAGCTTTTCATCCCCAAGGCTCCTCCCGTGACCCCAAAGCCCTTCAGAACCGGTAGACTGAACTAAACCCATGCGGCTTCGGAAAGCCTGCAATCTTCAGGCTTAGTTGCTGTTGCCTTTGCAGCTCTAAGGTTTTTGGGCAGTTTACAGACTTTAGCACGATTCGGTGGTGTATTCCGCCAAACTGGCCTCATCACGTCGGTGCCTCTCACCCTGCCACTGCGAAAGAAAGTCCAACTCATCTGCCTCGGAAGAGAGCGAGCCGATCTTCCTGAACCGTTCGGGTACCTGAAGCTCCTACTTACCTAGGAATAACAAGGCTCCCCTCTTTTTTAAGGGAACCTAAGCGACCCCAGCAAAAGGGAATGGGGGCCTACCTCTGGGTCCTAGGTATCATGCTGCTATAGCTACTGCAGTACGCGCTCTATTTGGCCCTAAACCCTAAACCCTACACCCTACACCCTAAACCCTAAACCCTAGACCCCCTTCAAAACCTTCGAAGACTGAGAACTCCTAAGCTCGGCGCATCGTTCTGTGTTCCCTAAACCCTGAAAACCCGACAAGCCCTAAAAACCCTGAAAACCCTCAAACGCCCTAAAAGCCCTAAAGGTCCCAAAAAACCCTAAAAGCCCTTAAAATCCCAAAAAGCCCTAAAAACCAGACAAAAAACCCAAAACCGTAAAACCCTCATGGTCACCTGGTTGCCATGGCTTGCCGTTTTGGTTCAGGGTTTAGGGTTTAGGGTTTAGGGTTTAGGGTTTAGGGTTCAGGGACGAGGGCTTCTATGAAATGTTGATCTAGGGTTAGGGGTTGGGATGTTCCCCCCTATACTGACAGTCCTTACTAGGGATTAGAATAACGGGAACGATGCTCCCTCTTCAGCACTGTTCGTATAAGGGGGAGCATCCCAAGTTAGGGGGGTAGAAGGGGCTTGGGGGTAAGCTTAAATTTAGGGCTTGGGGCAAGTCTTGGGATTAGGGTTCTCTAAGGCTCTGAAACCCTCAAACCCTGATAAATTCTAAAAAAAAAGGCTCTCAAACCCTCAAAGCCTGATAAACCCGAAAACCTCAACCCTCGCAAAACCCAAACTCGGCCACCTAGGAGCAGTGAGCCATCCTAAACCCTAAGCCCCAAGCCCCAAACCCCAAACCCCAAACTCGGCAACCTAGGAGCAGTGAGCATGCCATCCTGGTTCTCATCCAGAGCGCCCCACAAGGCCCCCCAGTCCCCAGCAAAATCGAACTCCTCCAGGGGTTTAGGGTTTAGGGTGTTAGGGTTGTAGGGGTATATGGGGTTTTGGGGGGTTTAAGGGTTTTAAGGGCTTTAGGGGTTAGGGGTTTAAGAGGGTTTAAGGGTTTAGGGCGTTAGAGATTTAGGGATGTAAGGCTTTGTCTTCGGGTTTAAGGCCGTGAAGGGTTTTCGGGTTTTCGGGGTTGAAAGGTTTGAGCGTTCAAGGTCGTAGGGTTGGTCGTAGGGTTTAAGGGTTTACGGGCACAGTGGGGTCTAAGGGCTTTCGAGGTTTAAGGGTTTACGGGTTTAGGGTTTTGGGGGTTTGGGGCGCCCCCATGTTGCGTGCTATCGCAGTTTGCACCACACATGTTGCAGGATGGTCTGGAGTCTGGAGCGAGCCCACCACCCTACAACGTAAGCCCTAAGCCCTAAGCCCTAATCCCTAACTCTAAACCCTACGCTCTAGCAACCCAGGCTTCCTTCAGGAACCCTAAACCCTAAACCATAATGACTTGTTGGGGCAGGTTTTGGAGGTGTCAAACCCTTACTAAAGCCCAAGCCCTGAAGGTTTACGACTGAGGTTTCTATGGCTTAAGGGCTGTTTAGGGAAGTAGGAACAAGCAGGCTCCTGAAGGAATTGCCGGAACTCCTTCTTTGTGCCTTAGGCAGCAAGCTCATGGCGAAGCAGGCAGGGGCCAGGGGACTTGCCTCAAGCCCTACTACGGTCGACCCTGGTGCACTACAGTCGACCCGGTTTAGGGTTTCGGGTTTAGGGTTTGCCGCACCATGCTTCTCGCAACCGCTCTGAGGTCTTCCGGGGTAGTTAAAGATAGCCACCGCACCGATCAGGCTATCTCTAAGAAGTCTGTCTCGGCAGCTGACAACCTCCACCTCTAAAGCAAAGATCCATCAGTTGACAAAACCGAATCCAGAACAAAGTGAGCCCCTTACTATAACCTCCAAACTCTAAAAAACCTTGCAAACCTTAGATGGAGTCCATTTAAAAAGCCACTCCCTGCTGCCTGCAGAAGACCCGAACAAGAACCCAACAAAGGCACGGAATCTTCCCATTGTGTGGGATGTTCCCCCTTGTACTACCAGTCCTGAATAAGGATTATACTCGGGGGGTACTATAATCCCTTTTAAGGAGCATACTACCAGTCCTTAATGAGGATTATAATGGGGGGGGGGTACTATAATCCCGATTAAGGAGCTGTTAGGGATTACACTCGGGGGGTTACTAGAATCCCCATTAAGGAGCTGTTAGTGTATAGGGATTATACTCGGGGGGGGTACTATCAATCCCTATTAAGGAGCTGTTTGTACAAGGGGTTTAGGGTTTAGGGTTTAGGGAATCCCTATTAAGGACTGTTGGTATAAGGGGGAACCTTCCCAAACCATGGTCACCAAGCCGCACGTGCCGGAGCCGCTTCTGTCAAGGCCAAACCTCAGGCGTTGGCATTGAGCTGGAGTGCTTTGGGGAGAGGGGGGGAGGGGGGGGGGGGGGGGGCGGGGGTTTGGGGTTTGGGGTTTGGGGTTTGGGGTTTGGGGTCTCGGGTGTAGGGTCTAGGGTATAGCGTTTAGGGTTTGGGGAGGGGGATGGAGGGAGATTTGTAACATCTCATTGTAACTATATGCAAGGCATGAGCGCAATCTCAGTACAATGAAGACAAAAAGCAGGAACCCAACGAACTCTCTCAAATCCACTCAACACTTCAAGTTCCAACTCCGAACTTGGGCTTAGGGTTTGGGGTTTAGGGTTTGGGGTTTAGGGTTTAGGGTCTGGGGTTGCTTAGATTCAGGATTCCGGGAGTCCCTCCCTGCTCAAAGTCGTTTTACACCCCTTTCAGCCCTGGTGTTTCATGATTCACTGAATGCCTTGTCAGGCCCGTGGACCTCTCGCAACGCCTCCTGAGCCACAAGAGGCCCTGACCGGAAGCAATTAGGGTTTAGGGTTTAGGGTTTAGGGTTTACGGTTTAGGGTTTAGGGAAACCTAAGACCCGGATCCCTGAAACCCCATCTGTGCCCCACTGCGTCGGGAAAACTAAACAGTGCCGGCCGTTCAGACCGTTGCATACTTGAAGATTGCTCTTGGCACTTGCCAACAGTGGGTGGGACTTTTCACAATCAGGAAACGTGGCTGTTCAATTGAGTGTACAATTGAGTGTACAGTGTACTGCGGTGGTCCAGGTGAACCCCAAACCCAGACCCCGGAAAACCCTGTACACCCCGAACCCCTGAAGCCCCTGGCACCCTAAACCCGAAACCCCAAACCCTAAACCCTTAACCCTAAACCCTAAACCTAAACCCTAAACCCTCAACCCTGAACCCTAAACCCTAAACCTCGAACCTGTCATGGTCAAAGCTGCTTGAAGGCTTCCCGCAGGCCGCCGAACTCACGAAGGCAGATCCTGTCTCCCAAAAGACAAGAAGTGAGTCTCTCGGGGATTCCGTGGTAGCCCTGTAACCTAGGGTTTAGGGTTTAGGGTTTAGGGTTTAGGGTGTGGGCTTTAGGGATAATATGCTATGGGCGCCCTTTTGTGGGTTGTTACTTTATGAGAGAGCCTTGAAAACAAAAACGCGAAAAGCGTCCCACCGCGCTGCCAAGTTTGTAGAGGGTTTACTGGGGTTTCTTCTAGGGGCTTGGGCTTTCAGGGGTTTACATTTTAAAAGGTTTAGTCAATTCAGGCTTAGGGGCTTATAGGGGCCCCGAGGTACATATCATAGTCCTGCAAGTGGACCCTCTGGGTTTAAGGTCTACTTGGAGGTTCATGGTACTTCTTGACGAACTATAACTGTACTTATACCTGTACTTATAACCATATTCGGCCACTTAAGGGGCCTACTAAGTACAGTTATCAATGGTTAATAAGTACCATGAACCTCCAAGTAGGGCCGAGTCTCGTCCGGAACTGCATGAGGTTCTTGTACGCTCGCGGATCCCAGCTTTCCAACGTGATGAAGCCGCTGCTGTTCGAGTCAAGCTGCTTCCACAACCTCACGGCTTTGGGGGTTCCTTTTTGGGAACTACATGGAACCACTCTGCGTAAGGGCTGCGTCCAATAACACATCCGGAGGAATCTGGGAGGGGTAGCATCGAGGAGGTTTCGAGCTTGGGGTGTAGGGTTCAGGGTTTGCAGGGTTTAGGGTTTATAGGGTTTAGGGCTTAGGGTTTTTAGGGTTTAGGGTTTACGGTTTGGGGTTTGTAGGGTTTAGGCTTTAGGCACATAGGGATCCTGCGAGACATGACTTCCTAACAAAAAAACATTCACAAATGGCCGCGCCGGAACTCAGCAACTTATTCTTGGTAGGGAATTGAATTAGGGAACGAGGTTACCCCCGATGGAATCCCTGCAAGCGTTACGTAGGGTCTGCGAGGTGCTTGCTTCCCGAGTTCCCTATGGTAGGGTTTAGGGTTAAGGGTTAAGGGTTGAGGCTTGAGGCTTGAGGCTTGAGGGTTGAGGCTTGAGGGTTGAGGATATAATTGCAACGAACTAGTCGGGTAAGGCCTTTCTCCTTTGGCTCGCAGCCTTATCGGGCAAGCAAGACCTCTTGCGTAACCCACGCGCCTCTTGGCATGCCTTGTTCTCTTATTTATTCCCATACGGCCTTCCTCCTTGATCCTCACAGCTTTCCTAAATGAGATCCTCTTAAAGCCGAGGAGCGAAAATATCCCCAAGACCCTGCCTTGCCATCTAGCTCAAGCCTAAACCCTAAACCCTAAACCCTAAACCCTAAACCCTAAACCCTACACCCTAAACCCTAAACCCTAAACCCTAAACCAAACAAAAAGCCGCTGAGCGGCGTGGAGATGTGGGTGAAGCCCATGGACCGTGCAGCGCGGCAGAAAGGAACGAAGGAGACGCGGCCAAGACCAGGTGTGTCCAGAAGAAGGCGCCAACCTGGGTAGGGTTTAGGGTTTAGGGTTTAGGGTTTACGGGTTTACGGGTTTACGGGTTTACGGGTTTCCGGGTTTTCGGGTTTTCGGGTTTTCGGGTTTTCGGGTTTTCGGGTTTTCGGGTTTCGGGTTTTCGGGTTTTCGGGTTTTAGGGTTTTGGGGTTTAGGGTTTAGGGTCCTTGAGGGAGCGGGTTTCATGGGGGGGTACCTAGGGATGGGGCCTTCGGGAGTAATAGGGAGTATTAGGGAACCTTGGGTTATATACCCCCCTTGAACCTTGGACAGAATTGAGTATCCCTCAGTCAACAGGGCTATTCTGATGATTGACGGTCCACGGCAAGGTTCTGGGTTTGTAGTTTTGGGGTAAGAGAGGGGATAAAGGTTCACCGAAGGGGTTTAGGGCTTAGGGTTCCACAACCCACTAGTACTATAAGTTGAACTTCCGAGGAATGCTTACACAAAGCTATAAGCAAGGTAATGTTGGTCCTTGTCATTGTGCTTTGTGCTTAGAGTCAGATGTTGTTGTATGACAGTAGAACGTATTCATGCAAACTGCTGCTTAATGTAGATGTAGGACATTGGAAAAGCTGCTTGCAACCTAGCGGCATCTGGCTAAGTTGCTGTACTTGCGCCGACAGCAGACCTGTTAACACAGCATGCAAGAGAAGCAGAATCAAAGCTCGAAGCTGACTCTACAGATAGACCCACGGCCTTAAACCCCGAGGAACCAAGAAAACGAAAGAAAGCCCTACGTTGAATCCTGAACCCGGAACCCCTGAGCACTTCCCTGACAATCTGAAACCTAACACAGAAACCACTCTTAAACCCCAAGCCCTAAGCCCTAAGCCCTAAGCCCTAAGCCCTAAACCCTAAACCCTAAACCCAGCCGGACCTTGAAGTCCTCAGTATAGGCGGCAGCATCCTGCACGGACGTCAACATGTCCTTTCGCCTGCACTTCAGCGAACAGATGCGGGGAAGAGGGGGGGGGGGGGAAGACGAGGGCGCACCCTCTAGCTTAAACCCATCTTAAACCCCCAAGCTCAAGTTTAGGGTTAGGGGGTCTTATACGTGCTGCAGGCTCTCCTTGCAACAGCAAGAAATAAGGAAGAGCAACACAATGTATCCGAAAGGAGAAGAACAGGCCGTCAAACATGCATCGGCCTTTTGCCGCAGTCTGCATGACTTGATTCTGAAGCCCGGAGCCCCGCGCTCCCTTGAGGACTCTATAAGGGGTTTAGGGTTTAGGGTTTAGGGTTTTTGTTTAGGGTTTAGGGTTTAGGGATTCGGAACAACTCAGACAGGGGGAAACCGGAGAAAGCAGAGGCAACCCGATGGATCAGTGCACCGACCACAACCAGAGCGGATTCGACTGTGGTTAAGGGTGCTGTCACCTCTTGGCAGAGGTTCCAGAAAAAAAGGTTGCCCTGTTTCTTTTTCCATCATGGGTTCAGCAGGGATCCTACGAAGGCGGGAAGAAAGGTACTACGGAGCATCTTCTCTAGAAAGCTGCTTTTCGAACTGCATGTTACACCTTTCAGCTGGGATGTTCCCCCATATACTAACAGTCCTGCATAGGGATGATAGTACCCCCTACTCTAATCCCTGTTAATTAGACGGGGGAACATCCCAACCTGGGTCGAAGCCATAAGCATGGCTGGCGAGGCATGCATCTGCTCGCTGGGAGCGAGTATACCAGACCTGGTCTACTATGTACTTAAGAATCCCCCAACCCAAGCGAAAGAGATAATAACAATAATCCCTTCGTTGCCCTGATAAGGAAGTATGTGTGTTTTTGAAGAGGTTCCTAAGTAAATGGTGGTGGTGGAGCCCTAAATTCGGAAATGCCTGTCCGCGGAGACCATCCGGATGCCGTTGTGTGTGCTGGCAAACTGCTCGCCGGGTGTAAAGCTGACTGGCTTCTGGACGCTACCTTGGTGGATTGTGCGGGGTTTAGGGTTTCAAGGTTCAAGATTTAGGGTTTAGGGTTTAAGTTTCAGGGTTTCAAGGTGGAAGGCTACCAGGTTTGGGGTAGGGTTTGTCGTTGGAATGCTGCAGCACCACCGTCTCAAGAGCCCCCAAAATCCTAGAGCACAACCCCAAACCCTAAACCCTAAACCCTAAACTCTAAACCCTAAACCCTAAACCCTAAACCCTAAACCCTAAACCCTAAACCCTAAACCCTAAACCCTAAACCCTAAACCCCAACCCTGAATTAGTCAAGACGAGCAGCTGCGCACGAGCTTGGGGAGTTCCGGGGCGATACTTGCCAGAGCCAGGGCATCATCTGGGAGGGGTCGTGAGGTGGACTGCCTGGAGGGCATTGGATTTCGGAGTTGGGTTTAGGGTTTAGGGTTTAGGGTTTAGGGTTTAGGGTTTAGGGTTTCGGGTTTAGAGTGAGTTTACAATAAGAGCAGGGCTAAGATTAACCCTAGTAAAGCCTAAACCCTCTGGTGCAGACTGGTGTCGGGGACTTGAGAAAATGCTACGGGGTTCTGGCGGCCTGGGGTTCATGAACATCCAAGTCGCCGATGGGATCCATTGCAAAACAAAATAGAGAGCTCCATGCCTGTTTGAACTGTCTGCAAAGTCCGGAATGGCAAAATGTGGCAAAATGCCACCCGACTATTGAGGCAAGGAGCCACAGGAAAAAGAGACGCGAGCGTGGAGCTTCGTCACTAGCCACAGGCTGGGACGAGCTTCTGCGAGAACTTTGCTGAGAAGCGGAGCAAAACGACATAGCCCTACGTAGGAAGGCGTAGGAAGGCTAAGATGGAGGAGCACCAGCTTGGCACGGTTCTCTTGATCAGAATGCCCTCAGGCACCGATGCAGCATTGGCGTTACGACAGACATGCAATGGTTGACCATGCCGTTGCATTATTGCGCAGTGCCATTTCGGCGGTGATGAGTAGGCTCGGCTAGCTTTTGTTGGTTTGTGTTTATGGGCTTGGGCCAGCTTCGGGGCGACGCATGGAAGGAAGCCTCAGGGAAGGAGGTCAGAGCAGCAGCAAGCATGCAACCATGCGCTGGCGAATGTCTGAAAACTCTGCTGCCCCCTACTCTGCTGCAAGCCCCCACACAACGGAACCTCGACTGCACATCTTCCGCACGCAAGTACTAGACCCAGGAGTAGACTAGGAATGAAAGGGTGCACGCCCGTTTTGGCTTTAAGGGAACTATCAGGAGACCCCAACCCTAAAGAAAGCAAGGGCCTACTCCGGGTCCTACAGTAGCTCTGGGGCTGCCGCATCCGGCTTTCTTGGCTGCTGCTAGGGTGTTGATGGCACTGAGGCACATGCTCCGGAACCTGCGGTCAAGGTCAGGCACAATAGCCTCTTCAAATACAACTCTGTGGTAGATGACCTAAATCATGGTCCCAAAAAGGCTAAGGATCTAAAGTTGCAGTAAAGCACCACAAAGCCGGGTTTCCCTACCTTGACGCCAAAACCTTATGTCCGTGGGACCTTGGGATGTGCCCCCCTATAATAACGGTCCTGAAAAGGGAATGTAATCGGGGTACTAGAATCCCGATTACTGCTAGTATAAGTGGAATATCCCAAGCGGTACCCCAAACAAGGGACCTCGATTCGAACAACCCTAAACCCCCAACCCCAAGACCTAGACCTAAAGCAAACCCATCAGCCCCCTTAACCTTAAAACCCATAAACGCTAACACCGAACAACTAAATCCTAAGCCCCTAAACCCCTATACCCTATCCCTGAACCCCTCTACCCTAAACCCTAAACCCTTTCCCTGGCTCACAGGATCTTTGCGCCTGTGTTCCAGCTTCTCCTGCTCCGGGGCCAAGGGTGGCAGACCCTTGTCCTTGCTGCCGGGCTTAGGGATAACGCTTGATTGAAACTCACGGGTAGCTTATGTAACTGTGAGACACCCCAGGGAAAGCTTTTTGTGGCTCGGGAGGTTTAGAGTTTAGTAGGGTTTAGGGAGTGTAGGTTTTAGGAAGGGGTTTAGGCTTGGGTGGGGGGGGCGTGGGGGGGGGCGGGGTTTAGGCTTCAGGGGGATTCGGCTTCAGGGGGTTTTAGTTGTTGGGGAATGCGGTGGGTTTAGGGACTACCGTCAAGGCCCTTTGATTGGGATGCCCCCTTATTATAACAGGCCTATGAAGGGCCATTAGTATAAGGGGGAACATCCCAACCTTATACTAACCCTAACCCCTAACCCTAAACCCTAAACCCTAAACCCTAAACCCTAAACCCTAAACCCGAAACCCTAAACCCTAAACCCCAAACCCCTAAACCCCTAAGCCCCTAAACCCCTAAACCCCTGAAGCCACAGCCAAGAGGAGTCCTCGGCCCCCTTCATGTGGAAGTTGTGGATCCGGCACAGAAGCTCCAGGGCTCCAGGATCGTCCTGGGGCGCGGGAGGTTCAGGGTTTCACTAAACCCTAAACCCTAAACCCTAAACCCTAAACCCTAAACCCTAGAACCCTGAACCCTGAACCCTAAACCCTAGACACTAAACCCTACACCCTGATCCGTCCTCCAGCCACCGGTTGTGCCTCACGAGATCCAGGAGCTGCGGATGCCGCGTGAGGTTCCTAGGATGGCCATTAAAAATACCCTTGAAAAATGTTTTAGGGTTTAGGATTTGGGGTTTAGGGTTTAAGGTTTAGGGTTTAAGGTTTCGGGTTTAGGGCTTAGGGTTTAGGGTTTAGGGTTTAGGGATTAGGGATTCGGGTTTGGGGTTTGGGGTTTAGGGCTTAGGGTTTACAATAATGGAAAATCCATAAAATGTCCCAAGAGCCTACCGAGGTTCGTCCCCCCCTCCTCGAAATGGCTCAGCACCATCAGCATGCTCAGGACCTGAAGGGAGGTTTAGGTTTAGGTTTAGGGTTTAGGGTTTGGGGTTTAGGGTTTGGGCTTTAGGGGCTACTTGTAGGGGTTTGAGGGTTTAGGGTCTTAGGGGTTTAGGGGGATTAGGATTTGGGGGTTTAGGGTTTAGGGTTTAGTGTTTCAGGGTGTGTAGGGTGTCAAGACGTTATAGGGCTTGCGGTGGCTGAGGGGGTCATGTGATGGGAGACGACTCCATGGGGGGGGGGGGGGGATTCTGATTTGTTCTTGTCGGGGCCTTGTCTTGCCAGGATTCCTACGCAAGATATCTGGGAGTGGGTCAAAATTCGGGTTGTCGCGGGGGGTCCCCCACCCCCTCTGTTACAAGGCTTGTCGCGGGCAGGTTGTTTCATACGTTTGTCGCGCCGCTACTTTGAACCCAATTTTCTTATTTGGGTTTTGTAAGGGTTTAGTGTAAAGGGCTTAGGTTTAGGGTTGGGGTTTCGGATGAAGGGTTTAGGGACCGCAGGGTTTTTACCGGAGAGCCATTAAACCCTGAACCCTGTAAATATAAACCCTGGGCTTCTCGTTCAAGGTTGTCCTACGGAGGGGCACCTGCTGGCTCGAGCAGTCGCGCGGGTTGTCGCGGGTATGTCGCGCCCTGTCGCAGGCCTTGTCGCGGACTGAGAGTGAAAGTTGCTGCAGACACGCATCAAGGTCGCATCGAGATTGGAAATGAGAAAATTCAATGGTATTGCTGTCTTGTCGGGGGGGGGGGGTTGTAGCCTTGTCGCGCGGGGGGTTGTCGCGGACACGGCCCGTCTGTTACAAACCTTTGTCGCGGAGGGACCCCCCGGCGCCTGTTACAAGCCCGGAAAAAAAAACTCACTCCCATCTAAACCCTAAACCCTAAACCCTAAACCCTAAACCCTAAATTTCGCTCTCTCCGCCCGGCCATGTCCGTCACCGCCTCCTGAACGCTGAACGGCTCCAAAAACAAGCGAAACCCTTTAACCTGAAACTAACGAGTCCTTAGCAATTACAGCGTACATATCTTGGGATGTTCCCTTAAGGACTGTGAGTACAAGTGGGAACGTCCCAATGCATATCCCTGATGTCCTAAGAACTGTGAAACAAAGAGAACCATAGTGCCAGCCTAAGACCGAAAGCCGTGCTACCGAAAACCGTGCTCTGAACCCTCAAATTGGGTTGAGGGTTTAGCGTTCAGGGAACCCTTAACCCTAGACCCAAAACCCAATACAGCCTTAACCCTGAACCCTAGATGTCACGGTCAGGGGCTAAACCCTAAACCCTAAACCCTAAATCCTAAACCCTAAACCCTAAACCCTAAACCTTAAGCCAAAGTCTCCGAAACCATTGGCAGCTGGGCTTCCCACCCGGAGGTCGTCGCGGCTAGCTTTCCGAAAGGGCTGCTGGCTGTTCCTGTCCAACCCTAAGTAGGGTGTAGGGTTTAGGGTTTAGGGTTTAGGGTTTAGGGTTCAGGCTCTGAGCCTCCGAACGCACTCTGAATGTCGGCCTCTATTGTTTAGGGCTTAGGGTTTTATAGGGGATGTAAGAAGGCTTTCAAGACTTCCCAAAGTGCTTTGTTCGGGTGGGGTGTTAGATCTAGGTTTAGTGCTTCAAGCAATTCCGGGCCGTCCGGGCCCCCCAAACCCCAAACCCTAAACCCCGAACCCTAAAACCTTAGCCCGGGCACTTGATCAGCTCCGGCGGAGCGTAGGGATCGCGTCGCTGCGACGCTTGGCCAGGCGCGGGCTCTGCCTTGAGGAGGAGCGTCCTCTGGAGGCTGTGGTTTAGGGTTTAGGGTTCTTAGGGTTTCGAAGGTTCTTCAGGGATTTGGCGCCATTTTTGTCTCAGGGATCAGGGTGTTGTGTTGGGACTTAGGGTCTGGGAATTGTAAGCGTTTGGGGCTTACGGCATTTGGGGCTTAGGGTACTGTTGGGGGTCTGAAGGCTTGTAGGGATAGCAAGGGTTTAGGGCTTAGGGGCCCTAAACCCTAAACCCTAAACCCGTTAGTATGTAAGGCTTTGATTGCGCTCAGGGTCTTCTGGACCTTACAGGTTTTTTGGCGCTAGGGATGCCGGCCCCAGACATCCCTAAAGACCTCAAACCCGAAAAGACCCAAGCATGGGGAGAAGCCCGAAACCCTTATAAACCCTAAACCCTAAACCCTAAACACTAAACCCTAAACCCTAAACCCTAATCCCTAACCCCTAACCCCTAACCCCTAAACCCTAAACCATAAACCCTAAACCCTAAACCCTAAACCCTAAACCCTAAACCCTAAACCCTAAACCCTAACCCTAAACCCTAAACCCTAAACACTAAACACTATTGCAACTGACTTGCAAGGTTCACCGAACATCTGCCAAGCCCCTGGCTGATACCGGCGTAGCCACCGCCTCACTTCTAAGGGTGGCCGAGGCCCTCAAGAACTCTGAAAAGGTTTAGGGGTTAGGGTTTGGGGTTTAGGGTTCAGCGTTTAGGGTTTACGGTTTAGGGTTTGCGGCTCCACAATCCCCCAAAAACCTATATCTTCCATGGGCCTAGTATATGAGTCCTTCAGGGATCGAATAACCTAACTATTCGGTCCCTGGAAGTATAGGGACACCCAAATCCCTTGTAGCTGCGCACCTTCAAACCCCTAAATCCTAAAACGCCCCCAGGGGGGGGGGGGGTTTGCTATGCCCTGCTGCTTTGGGTATCGTTTCTGTTCGCACTGCCGATGTTCGTGAAGTTTTCCTAGTTTTTGGACCTCTTGAAAATGGTTGTTTTTTGATGACACGTTGAAAAATGCATGGTTTCGGCACTTCCAGTCGTGTCACGGTCTCGTTGGGTCTGCATTTACAGGGCTTTTGACTTTGGAGTGCTTGGATACAAGTTAGTGTTTGGGGTGCTGCGTTGATTCCTGACAGCTTGTCGTACAAAGAGGCTCGCAAAGGCAAAAACAACTCTCTATGCAACAGTGTTCCGCTTAGTATTTCTCTTGTTCTCTCTTTGTTCGTTGTCGTTGATTTCTTTCTTGGGTCTTTCTGTTGTTCGTTCCTTCTTCCCGAACGGAATGTTTTCAATTTGTGTCGATCTGTTTGTCGTGGTTGGGTCATTCATCTGTCCTTCTTTCTGTACAGGTGCTCTTTATGCCTTTCTTTCTTCATGTCGTTATTTCATTCTTTCTATGTCTTTCGCTCGTTCTTTTATTTCATGTTCTATGTATTTCTTTATTGTGTCTGGGTGGGGGGGGCCTTCATATGGCGACCATGCCCAAGCCAGTGGTATTTGCTTTTTGCACAACATACTCTGGGCTTCACGCCCCGATTCCGATTTTAGGGTTGGAAGTCAAGATAGCAACAACTAGGATGCAACCACACCCCCCCCCCCCCCGCCCCCTCTCCCCCTCCCCCCTCTCCCCCCAACTCCCCCCCAAACAAACCATCCATCCATGAAGAGCTGAAAAACACGAAAAAAAGGCCGTGTGCTAAAACGCCTAAACCGTTTACAGCCCAAACACCCACCCACCTAGAATGCCAAACTGTTGAGATGCTTAGAAGGCGTAGATGAAGGATTTTCGAAATTGGCGTTAGAGTTTTTGGTTTCCTGTCAGAATCCTGCCCATTGTGTTTAAGGCCTCCGCCCCCACGCCCCGACAACAAAGGACGATAACTTAGAGAATTTCCCCACGCCCTAAACCTAAGATAACCGAAGTCCTCCCCGCCCTGCCAAAAAACTGGTTAAGTGAACTGCCCCAAGGCCTAAATTAAACAAAGAAAGAGAAAAAAAACACACACACACACAAATATATATATATATATATAAGAGAGAGAGAGAGAAAGAAAAATAAAACATAGATAAATACAGAAATATATTAAAGAAACCAAAAAAAGAAGCCCCAAAACCTGAAGAATCGTGGGAGACTCTGCGGCCCGAGGCGCTCCACCTCGGCCTGCTCCGCGCGGCATTCCTTCTAGGTGCGCGGTTTAGGGTTTAGGGTTTAGGATTTAGGGTTTAGGGTTTAGGGTTTAGGGGTTTTCGGGGTCCCAAGATGCCTCCAGTGCCCTCTGGATGTTTGGGGTTGGGTGTAGGGTCAGCAGGTTTAACGTATCCCTAAAGACCAACCTGAACCCGAACCCGCAAAGCCCTGCCCGAAACACTGAATTCAGTTACGCAGTCCATTGTTTGATTCCTTCTGTTCTTTCTTTGCCGGTGGCTCCGGTGATGAAGGAGAGTACTGAGGATGTCAGTTTTGGGGCTTAGGGATGTTCAGGGCGTAGGGCTTGGGGTGGAGCACGTGTGTACTTCGCGTGTATAAGCAGTTGTATTGACATGCATGGGCAGGGAAGCTCGTGAACTTTTCGAATCCGAATCAAATTTCAAGGCGCCTGACACAGAGCTGAACTTGCATCGCAAACGGCGAATCGCTCCATGGCAGGATCCAAACCCTAAACCGCAGCGGGTTTTGGCCTCCTCCTTAGCCTGTCCAAGACTTAAGACCAGATCACCGGTTCAGGGTTTAGGGACCCTGTGGTTTAGGGACCCTGAACCCTAAACCGTAAACCCTAATTAAACCCTAAACCCTAAACCCTAAACCCTAAACCCTAAACCCTAAACCCTAAACCCTAAACCCTAAACCCTAAGAAAGTAGGCACCCCTGGGGCCCTAAACCCTCTACCCAGGCCTCCTGGAATTCCACCCTGGCTGCTGCAGCTTCCTGCTCCGCCTTCAGGAGTTAAAGCTTGGTTCAGGGTTTGGAGGGTTTAGGGTGTTCAGGGATTTTTTGAATTTACAGGGTTTAGGGTGTTCAGGGATTTTTTGAATTTACAGGGTTTAGGGTTTAGAGGGAGTAAGGTTGAGAGATGGAGTAGGGTGTAGAGGGCGTAAAGTCTAGAGGGGCTCAGTTTCTAGAGGGTTTAAAGGTCTCAGTCGCCCCTAAACCCCAAACCCTAAACCCCAAACCCTAACCCTAAACCCTAAACCCTAAGCCCTTACCCTAAGCCCCAAACCCTAAACCCTGAAAAACCCTAATCCCTGAATGCCGCCTTCTCGACCTTTTCATCCTCGCTGTCCTCGAGCTGCTCCTTGGTGGTGGGGCTTGATGGTTCAGGACTTATCGGGGGTTTAGGGTTTGAGGTTTGGGGTTTAAGGTTTAGGGTTTGGGGGTTGGGGTTTAGGGTTTGGGGTTTAGGGTTTAGGGTTTGGGGTTTCGGGTTTGTACATGGGGAAAACCGACGGGCTTTCACAGGAAAAGCCCCGAGTATGGGGGCGGGCTTCTCCAATGCTGTGGAGTTCTGTAGGGATTATTAGGGTGGGCTTGGGGACGTATGTGTCTAGGGCGTATGTAGGGGGAAAAGGGTGTATAGGGCTTCGAGAGGCTTACAGAAGTTTGTCTAACTATAGGTATTCTGCGTAGTAGGCTAAACTCATACTGTGTGTATGTTGTCCTGACTGCATGTACTATGCTTATGCCTTGTAAAGCATTGCCGCAAGGAAAACACTAGGAGCACTACCCTATTCCTGAACCAGGTACGTAAGCCTTCTAAACCCTAAACCCTAATCATCAAATCCAAAAAAGCATCCATTGCTCTTAGGGCTCCAACCCACTTGCTGTAATCGTTCATTGCTTCTCAAACCTCAGTCACGCGGGCGGGAGGGTTGCTTAAAATTAAGCTCGCTCAGGTTTACCCTATAAACCCTAAACCCTAAACCGCCTAGACCGCAACCCTAAACCCTAAACCCTAAACTCGAGCCCCTGAAACCTAAACCCTACACCCCAAAGAGGACGCCAGTTCAGAAGAAAATTTAAGATGGAGACGAGGCCCCGGGCTTCAGAAAGGCAAGCGGAGCCTCCTCAAACAACACACACACACACATGAAGGAGCAACTGGAGCTTCAAGAGGGTTTCGGGTTTAGGGTTTGGGGTGAAAACCATAAGCCCTCAACCTAAACATTAATCCCTAAACCCTAAACCCTAAACCCTAAACCCTAAACCCTAAACCCTAAACCCTAAACCCTAAACCCTAAACCCTAAACCCTACCTGTCATGCCTTAGGGTACTTGCTTATTCTAGAATCTTGGGAACCCCTATAGAACCCTCAGACCCTGAAACCATGAGCCCTTCCTGCGTTTAGGGTTTAGGGTTAGGGTTTGGGGTTTAGGGTTTAGGGTTTGGGGTTTAGGGTTAGGGTTTGGGGTTTAGGGTTCAGGAGATGGGTGATTGGACCCTAGAATCCCTTCAACGGGACCTGTGTCATAGCCCTGCCTCTGACTAGCACACCCGGGTTCAAGGCCCCAAAGTGCGATGTTCCTTATTTCACGAGCCCGAAGAAGGGTACCCCCACGTTTACCCTAAACCCTAAACTTTGGCCCTAAACCCTAAACCCTAAACCCTATGGAACCTCTTATCTTCTTGTCCCGCCTTCAGCAAGCACTACTCGCGGGGCGGGATTTAGACTCGGCTTTCTTGCGGGGTTCAAATAGCGTTTAGGGGTTAAGGGTCCCCAACGAAACTTGTTAGTTGCACCCTGTATAGTAGGGCACATGGGCCCCAATCTACATGCAGCAGGGGCCCTCAAGAACCTTCGAGGACTGAGAATGTCCCTCCCCCCCCAACCACTTTTATTTCTGGGAGAAGGGGCTTCAAGAGCACACCGGGCTTCTAGTCAGATTTAGGATTGAAGGTTAAGGATTTCGGGCACTTGTTGGGCTAATCCATTTACATTTACCGGGGCAACTGCCAGGCAAACGGCACGCCGAAGACGACTGCCGGCCGGCACTCGCAGAAACTTTGAAAACCGTCGTGATAAAATTGAATGGCCGTGCCCTTGGCTAGCTACGCGTGTCGTGCTTGTTGCGTGCCATGGATCGGCGGTAGGTACGTAGCTTGGACTGCTGCGTTGCCTGGTGGAAGCGGCTTATGAAACTGCAGCGAGTGAGCCTGAGGCCGAATACGCTCGGTTCTGTCAAACTCAAATTTGGAACCCGAAAGCTGTACAGTGGACTGAAGCACATGTCGTGTCTGAGAAGCCATAGCAGCGGAACACGTTCGGGTGGCTGTAGGCGCACGGCAGCATCTTCAACGTTAGAGGGTGCGTTAACAGCCTGCACGTTCCTGCCATGTCAAACACACGCGGCAAAGAGGAGAGTTTTGCTCAGCGGACCCATGACGTCATGGAACTTCTCGAGCCTGAAAGAAACGTGTGCTTCCGCAGCACCTCGCTAGGCCTGTTATGTGCACATAGTGACATAGTGTGCCATGAGCGCCATGGCACACTCGACTTGAAGAGAATTAAACGGAATCAAAACCCATTCAAAGGTTCGACGCTTGGAGCAGCTCACCACTTGTCAGCCTTGCTGTAGACGTAGTTGGCCACGTCCTGCCGATGTGCGGGCAAGGCCACGGACGATCAGATCACGACATATCAATGGATTCACGACGATTTCCTAGCCATTGCGAAGAACATGCAAAAAAAGAAAGACCCAAGACGTTGACCCACTACCGTCACCAAAGCCAAAGTCACACCTCGATGTCATCAGGCCCCAGCTTGTCGCCGAAGGCAGGCATTGCGCCGTTGCCGTTGGTCACCTGGGTGCTCAGCAGCGTGTCCAGGAATGTTTCAAGCATGCTGGCTGCAACTCTAATCCCGACCTGGCTCATGATGGCCTGGACGTCGTACTTGCCGTACTGGACCAAAGCTTCCTCAAGGGAGGCAAGCGATGAACAACATGCGGGGATCTCTCTCTTGCATTAGTCGTAGCGGCTTGCTGCAGAACTCTCAGATGTTCCTACGCTGCTCGCCTTCTTCAGCTTCTTCTCTGCCACAATGGAGTTGTTGCCGTTGGCGTGGCAGGCAGTGCAGTTGCCGTTGAAGATGGCCTCACCATTCTCCAGGTCCGCAGCCAGGGCAGGCCGGCCAGTGGCCACTGCCATCAAGAGCCCCAGGGCTGCACCGACAGCAAGCGGGCTCCAGGAGGCTGACTCAGCAGCGCTGCTGATGGCGCTTGGCTGCCCCAACACAGCACCCGCCTCCGTCTGAGGTGCACCCTTTGGCGTGGTGGCAGGCACGATGAAGCAGCTGGCACCATACAGGGCCAAGGAGGCGGCGCACACGATGCCAGCGACGCGGGACATGACCCTCTGCCTGTGTGTTGAAACGGAGGCTACAAAGTGTCACTGGCCACAGCCAAAACGCCTGCCACAGACGATCATTCACTGCAGATGTCTGCGAAACCGGAAAGACACAAACTTCATCGCCGGAGGGCGCGTTGACAGCCTGCGCCTTCCTGTCATGAAAACGCACGCTGCAAAGAGGAGAGTTTTGCTCAGCGGACCCATGACGTCATGGAACTTCTCGAGCCTGAAAGAAACGTGTGCTTCCGCAGCACCTCGCTAGGCCTGTTATGTGCACATAGCGACATAGTGTGCCATGAGCGCCATGGCACACTCGACTTGAAGAGATTAAACGGAATCAAAACCCATTCAAAGGTTCGACGCTTGGAGCAGCTCACCACTTGTCAGCCTTGCTGTAGACGTAGTTGGCCACGTCCTGCCGATCAGATCACGACATATCACGACATCGATGGATTCACGACGATTTCTTAGCCATTGCGAAAAACATGCAAAAAAAGCAAGACCCAAGACTGCGACCCACTACCAAAGCCAAAGTCGCACCTCGATGTCATCAGGTCCCAGCTTGTCGCCGAAAGCAGGCATTGCGCCGTTGCCGTTGGTCACCTGCGTGCTCAGCATCTGTCCAGGAATGTGTCAAGCATGCTGGCTGCAATTCTAATCCCGACCTGGCTCATGATGGCCTGGACGTCGTACTTGCCGTACTGGACCAAAGCTTCCTCAAGGGAGGCAAGCGATGAACAACATGCGGGGAACCCTCTCTTATGTTAGTCGTAGCGGCTTGCTTCAGAACTCTTAGATGTTCCTACGCTGCTCGCCTTCTTCAGCTTCTTCTCTGCCACAATGGAGTTGTTGCCGTTGGCGTGGCAGGCAGTGCAGTTGCCGTTGAAGATGGCCTCACCATTCTCCAGGTCCGCAGCCAGGGCAGGCCGGCCAGTGGCCACTGCCATCAAGAGCCCCAGGGCTGCACCGACAGCAAGCGGGCTCCAGGAGGCTGACTCAGCAGCGCTGCTGATGGCGCTTGGCTGCCCCAACACAGCACCCGCCTCCGTCTGAGGTGCACCCTTTGGCGTGGTGGCAGGCACGATGAAGCAGCTGGCACCATACAGGGCCAAGGAGGCGGCGCACACGATGCCAGCGACGCGGGACATGTCTGCCTTTGTGTTGACGCGGAGACTACAAAGTGTCACTGGCCACAGCCAAAACGCCTGCAACAGACGATCATCGACCGCACATGTCTGCGAAACCGACAAGACACAAACTTCAACACCGGAGGTGCGTTAACAGCCTGCACCTTCCTGTCATGTAAAACGCGCGCGGCAAAGAGGAGAGTTTTGCTCAGCGGACCCATGACGTCATGGAACTTCTCGAGCCTGAAAGAAACGTGTGCTTCCGCAGCACCTCGCTAGGCCTGTTATGTGCACATAGCGACATAGTGCGCCATCAGCGCCATGGCACACTCGACTTGAAGAGATTAAACGGAATCAAAACCCATTCAAAGGTTCGACGCTTGGAGCAGCTCACCACTTGTCAGCCTTGCTGTAGACGTAGTTGGCCACGTCCTGCCGATCAGATCACGACATATCACGACATCGACGGATTCACGACGATTTCCTAGCCATTGCGAAGAACATGCAAAAAAAACAACGCAAGACCCAAGACTGCGACCCACTACCAAAGCCAAAGTCGCACCTCGATGTCATCAGGTCCCAGCTTGTCGCCGAAGGCAGGCATGGCGCCGTTGCCGTTGGTCACCTGGGTGCTCAGCATCTGTCCAGGAATGTGTCAAGCATGCTGGCTGCAATTCTAATCCCGACCTGGCTCATGATGGCCTGGACGTCGTACTTGCCGTACTGGACCAAAGCTTCCTCAAGGGAGGCAAGCGATGAACAACATGCGGGGAACCCTCTCTTATGTTAGTCGTAGCGGCTTGCTGCAGAACTCTTAGATGTTCCTACGCTGCTCGCCTTCTTCAGCTTCTTCTCTGCCACAATGGAGTTGTTGCCGTTGGCGTGGCAGGCAGTGCAGTTGCCGTTGAAGATGGCCTCACCATTCTCCAGGTCCGCAGCCAGGGCAGGCCGGCCAGTGGCCACTGCCATCAAGAGCCCCAGGGCTGCGCCGACAGCAAGCGGGCTCCAGGAGGCTGACTCAGCAGCGCTGCTGATGGCGCTTGGCTGCCCCAACACAGCACCCGCCTCCGTCTGAGGTGCACCCTTAGGCGTGGTGGCAGGCACGATGAAGCAGCTGGCACCATACAGGGCCAAGGAGGCGGCGCACACGATGCCAGCGACGCGGGACATGTCTGCCTGTGTGTTGAAACGGAGGCTACAAAGTGTCACTGGCCACAGCCAAAACGCCTGCAACAGACGATCATCGACTGCACATGTCTGCGAAACCGACAAGACACAAACTTCAACGCCGGAGGGTGCGTTGAGAGCCTGCACCTTCCTGTCATGTCAAAACGCGCGCGGCAAAGAGGTCAGTTTTGCTGAGCGGGCCCATGACATCATGGAACTTCTCGAGCCTGAAAGAAACGTGTGCTTCCGCAGCACCTCGCTAGGCCTGTTATGTGCACATAGCGACATAGTGCGCCATCAGCGCCATGGCACACTCGACTTGAAGAGATTAAACGGAGTCAAAACCCATTCAAAGGTTCGACGCTTGGAGCAGCTCACCACTTGTCAGCCTTGCTGTAGACGTAGTTGGCCACGTCCTGCCGATGTGCGGGCAAGGCCACGGACGATCAGATCACGACATATCACGACATCGATGGATTCACGACGATTTCCTAGCCATTGCGAAGAACATGCAAAAAAAGCAAGACCCAAGACTGCGACCCACTACCAAAGCCAAAGTCGCACCTCGATGTCATCAGGTCCCAGCTTGTCGCCGAAGGCAGGCATTGCGCCGTTGCCGTTGGTCACCTGCGTGCTCAGCATCTGTCCAGGAATGTGTCAAGCATGCTGGCTGCAACTCTAATCCCGACCTGGCTCATGATGGCCTGGACGTCGTACTTGCCGTACTGGACCAAAGCTTCCTCAAGGGAGGCAAGCGATGAACAACATGCGGGGAACCCTCTCTTATGTTAGTCGTAGCGGCTTGCTTCAGAACTCTTAGATGTTCCTACGCTGCTCGCCTTCTTCAGCTTCTTCTCTGCCACAATGGAGTTGTTGCCGTTGGCGTGGCAGGCAGTGCAGTTGCCGTTGAAGATGGCCTCACCATTCTCCAGGTCCGCAGCCAGGGCAGGCCGGCCAGTGGCCACTGCCATCAAGAGCCCCAGGGCTGCGCCGACAGCAAGCGGGCTCCAGGAGGCTGACTCAGCAGCGCTGCTGATGGCGCTTGGCTGCCCCAACACAGCACCCGCCTCCGTCTGAGGTGCACCCTTAGGCGTGGTGGCAGGCACGATGAAGCAGCTGGCACCATACAGGGCCAAGGAGGCGGCGCACACGATGCCAGCGACGCGGGACATGTCTGCCTTTGTGTTGACGCGGAGGCTACAAAGTGTCACTGGCCACAGCCAAAACGCCTGCAACAGACGATCATCGACTGCACATGTCTGCGAAACCGACAAGACACAAACTTCAACGCCGGAGGGTGCGTTGAGAGCCTGCACCTTCCTGTCATGTCAAAACGCGCGCGGCAAAGAGGAGAGTTTTGCTCAGCGGACCCATGACGTCATGGAACTTCTCGAGCCTGAAAGAAACGTGTGCTTCCGCAGCACCTCGCTAGGCCTGTTATGTGCACATAGCGACAAAGTGTGCCATGAGCACCATGGCACCATGGCACACTCGACTTGAAGAGATTAAACGGAATCAATACCCATTCAAAGGTTCGACGCTTGGAGCAGCTCACCACTTGTCAGCCTTGCTGTAGACGTAGTTGGCCACGTCCTGCCGATCAGATCACGACATATCACGACATCGATGGATTCACGACGACTTCTTAGCCATTGCGAAAAACATGCAAAAAAAGCAAGACCCAAGACTGCGACCCACTACCAAAGCCAAAGTCGCACCTCGATGTCATCAGGTCCCAGCTTGTCGCCGAAAGCAGGCATTGCGCCGTTGCCGTTGGTCACCTGGGTGCTCATAGTCTGTCCAGGAATGTGTCAAGCATGCTGGCTGCAATTCTAATCCCGACCTGGCTCATGATGGCCTGGACGTCGTACTTGCCGTACTGGACCAAAGCTTCCTCAAGGGAGGCAAGCGATGAACAACATGCGGGGAACCCTCTCTTATGTTAGTCGTAGCGGCTTGCTGCAGAACTCTCAGATGTTCCTACGCTGCTCGCCTTCTTCAGCTTCTTCTCTGCCACAATGGAGTTGTTGCCGTTGGCGTGGCAGGCAGTGCAGTTGCCGTTGAAGATGGCCTCACCATTCTCCAGGTCCGCAGCCAGGGCAGGCCGGCCAGTGGCCACTGCCATCAAGAGCCCCAGGGCTGCGCCGACAGCAAGCGGGCTCCAGGAGGCTGACTCAGCAGCGCTGCTGATGGCGCTTGGCTGCCCCAACACAGCACCCGCCTCCGTCTGAGGTGCACCCTTAGGCGTGGTGGCAGGCACGATGAAGCAGCTGGCACCATACAGGGCCAAGGAGGCGGCGCACACGATGCCAGCGACGCGGGACATGACTCTCTGCCTTTGTGTTGACGCGGAGACTACAAAGTGTCACTGGCCACAGCCAAAACGCCTGCAGCAGACGATTATCGACTGCACATGTCTGCGAAACCGACAAGACTCAAACTTCAACGCCAGAGGGTGCGTTAACAGCTGCAACTGCCATCGTACCAAACCATTCCCCAGGCCAAGCGCCCACAATCGCCTTGTTAATTAGATCTTCGGGCCCGAATGTATGGGTTGTTCTCTAAGTTAGGATCCCGTTTTGGATCCGCCACATTCCACAGCACCCTTTGTAAGGACCCAAAGACGGAAGCCTAACATGGACAACTACCCTATAAAGCAGGGTTTAGTAGCTCAATGTGTAACTTGGCGGTTGGGATAACCCTAAACCCTAACCGCCCTAAACCCTAAACCCTAAACCCGACCTTAAACCCTAAACCCTAAACCCTCAACCCTCAACCCTCAACCCTCAACCCCAAGAGAGAGTTGTCTTTTCGCCACGGCTGTTGGCATCGACCGGTGGCTTCGGCGCCTCCAGCCCACGCTCAGCGCTCAGGGCGTAGGGTTGGAAGGGTGTGGGGTTTTAGGGTTTAGGGTTTAGGGTTTATAGGGTCTGTAGGTTCAGGGTTTAGGGTTTAGGGTTTAAGGGTTTTAGGGTTTTAGGGTTTTAGGGTTTTGGGGTTTTAGGGTTTTAGGGTTTTAGGGTTCAGGGTTGAGGGTTGTGGAGCTTAGGGTGTGGGGGAAGAAAGTGCGGCTTTTTGGGGGATCAGGTTTGCACTGTGTTGGCGGCTTCTGCCCCTTTTATGATGATCCCTAAACCCTAAACCCTAATTCCTAAACCCTAAACTCTGCAAAGCCCATGGCCTGATCCGTCCCTGTGTCCAGCAAGTACTGGAGGATGCTGATGCACTGCGATGTTAACCTCAGCACTCCACGAGCTGCGCTTGAAGATGCCCATGAACCCTGAACCCCAAACCCCTGACCCGAAGATCCCTAAGCCGTAAGATAGGGTTTAGGGTTTAAGGTTGAAGGCTTTTAGGGTTTAAGGTTTAAGGTTTTCAGGTTTTAGGGTTAAGTTTAGGGTCCCTTGATTTATTCATAATTGCGGTAGAGTTTAGATCCATTGTATGCTTAATCTAAGGGTTGGAGGGCCATAAGGGGATGATGTTGGCAAGCGCTCAGGCTTGCATATTCCTGGACCCGAAAAACTCAATCCTCAACAGCCCTGAAACCCTAAACCCTAAACCCTACACCCTAAACCCTAAACCCTAAACCCTAAAAGCCGTCAAGCAATGAAGCCGAAAGTCCTAAACCTTAGGAAAAAAAACACCAAAGCCCTAGAAGCCCTTTAAGCTCTTGAGCGCTGGGACCTTCAATCCCTAAACCCCTACTGCCTGAATCCCTAAAACCATAGATCCTTAACCACTAGAACCTGTCCTGACATGACTACAAGCTTTAACCCCAAAGCAAAAACCCCAAAGCCCTAAACCCTGAACAAACTCAAAACTTCCCCTTTCCCGCTCGCACTGCAACCCGAAAGGTCTGCTCCCAACAGCCTTTATAGGGCTTTAGGGAACTTACCCAAAGGCTCCTATGCAGTACCTTTTTGGGGTAGTATACTAGAATCCCCTATAACTAACCCAAAAAGGGACTACGCTCGAGACTCCAGGTAGTAAGCCCTAAACCCTGAACCCTAAACCCTAAACCCTGAACCCTAAACCCTAAACCCTAAACCCTGAACCCTAAACCCTAAACCCTAAACCCAGCAGTAAGTAGGGTTGGCTAGCGCCCCAAACCCTGAGCCCTTCAGCCTTCTACCCTCATGCCAACAAGAAGCTTCTAAACCCTAAACCCTAAACCCTAAACCCTAAACCCTAAACCCCAAACCCTATACGCACCCTAAACCCCAGACCCTGAACCCTGAACCCTCAGCCCCGACAGCAGCGGCGCATGCAGGCGGGGGGCAGGGGCGTAGGGCCCAGGGAGATCGCCGTGGCACCAAAGTCGCTGACCAACCTCCAGAATAGGGTTTAGGGTTTAGGGTTTAGGGTTTGGGGTTTAGGGTTTAGGGTCTAGGGTTTAGGGTTTAAAGTTTAGGGTTTGCTGGGGCAGGTTTTGGGGGGGGGGGGGGGGGGGGGCCTATAAAAATCATATTTCTTTTAGCTTTATCAGGATTAAGGGTGATAAATTCAATGATTTCGTTCAAACTCGCCCCTGCTTAGGGGTTAGGGCTCTGCTTAAGAGCTTCATTTCAGGCTTCCGACCGCAACTTCTGCATCAGCGACTACTACTTGCTTAAGAACACCCCCCCCCCCCAAAAAAAAAAAAACAAAGAGGACTTGAGGAAGAATATTTCGGGGGTTTCTTAACCCACTAGTAGGCGATTCCGACTAGTTGAGACCCCAACTTGCGCACCCATCTCGCGGAACCCACGGCTTCAGCGTCAGTTTCTCGTCTAGCTCATCCCACGCTCCACTAATTCACCCTGTAGTCCTGTAGAGGCCCTAAACTTGGGACGTTCCCCCCTTTACTAGTAGGGGATAGGATTAAGGGGACCCTTGGGGATACAGACCCTCTGAATAAGGTCCCTGTTTAAGAGAGCCAGAAGAGGGTTCAGAAGGGGTACGTAGGGATTATAGTACCACCCTCCCTGCTATTTATAATCCCGATTAAGGACTGTTAGTATAAGGAGGAACATCCCAAGCTCCACCAATTAACCCTGCAGAGGTCCAGCACATCGGCATCCCTGACAGTCCATAATCGGGATTATAGTACCCGCTGCTACAATCCCTATTAAGAACAGTTCGCATAAGGGGGAAGATCCCAATCCTACACCCCAAACCCTGAACCCTAAACCCTAAACCCTTATAAACCCTAAACCCTAAACCCTAAACCCTAAACCCTAAACCTTCCACACCTGAAATCGCTGAGAAGGGCTGCCTTCCCATGGCCACGGGACGCAAGCCGATGTGGTCGCCGACCACGATGACCACATGATCCAGGCCCTTCGTAGGGTTTAGGGTTTAGGGTTTAGGGTTTAGGGTTTAGGGTTTAAGGTTTAGGGTTTAGGGTAGGGCTTTTTGGGATTCTCTGACCTTACAGGGATGCGAAACGCTGCACTGAACTCCCAGATGTGATAACCGTCGTCTCATCGAAGCTACGCTAGGGGACGCGTTTGCAGAGACAGCCCTTCGCACAGACATGGCCGTTTCAGCATGTCTTTAAGTGGCCGGCCTCCTCCACAGCAGCTTTGGCCAGCTCCTGCAGACGTTCGTGCTTGCGGCGTAGCGGAAGCTCGACAGATGAGAGCTCCCGGAGCCGAGCATGCGACGAAGCTATGCGAGTGGTCGATTCGCCAAAATGGCCAAATGCTTCACAATCACAAAGAATATGCAATTATCTGAACTTCCGTACGACTAAGGACCACGACTACCCCTGCCCTGCAGCAACTGCTCTGGGCGTCGCTTAGAATCCTGAGAATAAGGGCAAGACCCTGGGTGGGGGGCTCGGGGCGAAGGCGCAGAAAACTGATGTTCAAGGCACACCACCCGACATGTTCTCTTCATCCCGGAAAACTTGCTCAAAACTCTTCATTTATTTCCCGGAGGTTGCCGCAAAACATCCCAAACGACACCCGCCCTGCAAGCACGACAACTTTCGGATCATGTGGCAAGCCTACAAGGCTACTGCCCAAGATGTGGGTACTTTTAAAGAGTCCACCCCAAAAAAAACCCATGTCGTGAGTATGGGAACCTCTGAAAAGCGTACCTTGGGATGTTCCCCCTTATGCGAACAGTCCTTCATAGGGATGATAGGCCCCTCTACTCTGATCCCGATTTCAGGACTGTCAGTATAAGGGGGAGCATCCCAGAGGGTACCCTTCTTGGAAAACCCCTATAGACCTCCCTTCATCCAGTGCTCCTCGGGGGCATCTAATGGCGCATCCTGGTCGACCAGCGAAAATCAACATCCATCAGGGTCTTACTTGGAGGTTAGTTAGAAGTAGCAGGGTTATAACCATGGTAGCTATACTTATAACCCTATGTAAGTACTATTTAAGGCGCTTATAGCCCTGCTTATAACTACCCATGAACCTCCAAGTAGGGCTTAGGGCGTTTAGTGTCTACTGCAAAGTCCGCCTTCAAGGGTTTGATAACGGTTTTGCGGCGGTTTAGGTTTGAACCGCTTGCCTCGCGCAGACTTGGTTCCTACTGAGACTGTCGCCTCGCGCAGATTTGATTCCTACTGAGATTAAGGCCCCGGACGCCCGACAGCTTTGAACTGCCCTATCCTCAATGGTTCCAAGGGTACTGGCTAATCATACATGCACAAGTGAGCTAAATCCTAAACTCCATATCCAACCGCTTTATCCTAACCCCCAAATTCTCAACATGGAAGCTGGAGACTGCAAATTCTGCTAAGGACTGCGAGCGTCACATTGTGAAGAAAACAACCCGAACCCGCAACCGAGCTCGAACCCTTCAAACCTCCAACCTTCAGCCTTGTAAGCCCCAAGCCCTAGAGCCCCAAAGCTCTAAGCCCCCTAAACCAAAAACCCCTACAACAAAAAAAAAACCGAGTCCCCGATTGCCCATTTTGGTCTTTGCCAGTTGTGGATCCACAAGTTGTGTGGAATTTATGCAGCCAGCAATGCCGGTGATTTCTTAGTTTTCTGCCGTCAATTCGATGGTTAGCCTCTTCGTTGAGGATCTCGCATTCTAAACCCTAAGCCCTAAGCCCTAAGCCCTAAACCCTAAACCCTAAACCTTTTTCCCAGGGAATGGACTCGGAGCCCTCAAGGCGCGCCTCACGCAACACGAAGAGTCGCGAGCGTCCACGAGCCTCCAGCTGCTCGCCGAAAAAAAGCAACAAACCCGAAAACGGTTAGGGTTTAGGGTTTAGGGTTTAGGGTTTAGGGTTTAGGGTTTAGGGTTCAGGGTTCAGGGTTCAGGGTTCAGGTTTAGGGTTTGATTCATAAAGCTTGACAGGGTGTTTAAGTGGTTAGGGGTCTTTAGAGCTGTTTAAGGGTTCTTAAGAGGCCTCCTAGGATTTGCCAGGCTTGGTTGAGATGTGAGGAAGCTTGCGAGTGCTTTGGAAGCTATGCCCTCGAAGCTCGTCGGCCCATCAACAAACTCGGGTTTAGGGCCTTGGGGTTTAGGGTTTCGGGCTTCGGGTTACCTGGAAGTGCCCTGGAGTGCTAGCGAGTCAAAAGGAGCCCTGAAGCGCGCATCTTGCCAAAATTCCGGACTAAGGGATACTAAGGGGGGTTAGGGTTTTCGGGGCCGGCCTAAACGCCCTAAAGCCCCCAAAAGGCTGGGGGTGGGAGCAGGAGAATATAAAGCACCCCGAATCCCCGAACACAAAAAACTCACTGACCCCAAAACCCGGTCCCAAGTCGCTCCGTTTAAAACTCTCTACAGACAAGGGGGGAGGGGGGGGAGAGCCAGAAACCTAGCAGCCCTTAAAGTTCGAAACCTGCTCTATGACTGAGCTAGCAAGGACTTGTTGTTTGTGTGTGGAGAGGGGTTCAATATTTGGGGGAAGGGCCTCCTTTTGGCACGGGCAATTTAAGAGGTTCAAGCACACGTATCATTGCAGGCCCTGCGACTTCGGGGGTGATCCTCTCAGCGAAACGCTTTTTCCAAGTGACTCCATGTCAATAGCCTTCTGACAGTCAATCTCAGCTGCAGTGTCGACCGGGCCTAGCAAACGTGCGACTTCAACATGGCCACACTGCTCTGCCAAGATGAGGGCCGTGGAGCCGGCGCTGTCGACCTTGTCTTTGTCCGCGCCAGCCTCCATCAGCGAACGCACCATTTCGATGTGGCCATGGAAGGCTGCGATCATGAGAGCTGTTTTGCCAGCATGGTTGGTCATGTCTTTCGCGGCACCGGCCTCCACCAGCAAACGAACGACCTTGACATGGCCACGTCGGGCTGCTATCATCAGGGCCGTGTCCCCATGGTTGCCGGCCACGTCCTTGTCGGCGCCAGCATCCACCAGCAAACGCGCCACTTCATAGCGACCCTCACGAACTGCGATCATCAAGGCCGTGAGGCAATGCGGCTTGGTTGTCAAGTCCATGTCGGCACCGGCGTCCACCAGCAAACGCACAACTTTGACATGGCCACGGAGAGCTGCGATTATCAGGGCTGTTTCCCCGTGCTGGCCGGCCACGTCCTTGTCGGCGCCAGCATCCACCAGCAATCGCGTCAGCTCACGGTGACCCTCGCGAGCTGCGATCATCAGGGGCGTGTGGCCATGGGGCTCGGTGGCGAAGTCCTTGTCGCCACCGGCCTCCACCAGTACACACATGACGTCAACCTGGCCATTGACAGCGGCTGCGATCAGGGCCGTGCAGCCATCTTCATCGGCAGAGTCCTTGTCGGCACCGGCCTCCACCAGCAAGCGCACAACTTCGACATGGCCACGGCGAGCTCCGATTATCAGGGCCGTGTCCCCGCGGTTGCCGGCCGCGTCCTTGTCGGCACCAGCATCCACCAGCAAGCGTATCACTTCAATGTGACCCTGATGAACTGCGATCATCAGGGCTGTAAGGCCGTACGGCTTGGAAGCCAAGTCCTTGCCGGCGCCAGCGTCCACCAGCAAACGCACAACTTCGACATGGCCACGGCGAGCTGCGATCATCAGGGCTGTGTTCCCATGGTTGTTGGCCCAGTCCTTGCTGGCGCCGGCCTCGAGAAGCAGACGCGCGACCTCCACGCGGCCACGGTGCGATGCCCTGAGGAGCGGGGTTTCACCTGTTGCTTCGGCCAGGTTTGGGTCCAGGGGCAGCTGCAGCATGGACTCCACCTGGCTTCTGATGACTCATGTAGGAGCCTTAATACCTAGAATAGGGTTTTGGGGGGGGGGGGGGGGGGGGGGCGGTATGATAATATACTCACAAAGGGGCCATAAGGGAATACCATTAGAAATGATTCCTACATCCCCCCCCCCCTCTTCCCCCCCCACCTTCTCCACCGAGCCGTCCCCGGCGGCCGCTATGAGCTCGTCCGCTTGCGCCTTGGTCGCGCTGCAGAAGTCTTGAAGAACCTTGGCTGCACTCAGAAGGGTAGCTATACATTGAGGTTTTAGCTGCCATATGAAGGAACCCCAAAAAAAACCAAAAAGGCTACAGTTACAGTAAAGCACCACAAAGGAACGAGGTCCAAGTCCATGGGGGAGTCGAGCTTGTGAGCATCCTCCAGCCGGGCACCCTCAAGGATAAGCCTCTGCTGAACTTGGGGAACCCTAGCAAACAGTATTTTGCTAGCTGTTTCTTAGGAATTCCTGTGCCCAAGAATTAGAAACTCTTCCCAAGAATCCCTAAAGGAGCCTCTGCCTGAAGCGGGGGGGCAAGCCGTGCAGTTCATGCAATCGCCGCTTCACTTCCAAAACGCAGCTCACCTCTTCCCAGAGCGGAATGCTCGCCACCTCGTTTCCGGAAAGCATGCGGACATGTAGCATCCTGGCCAAACCCAGAAGACCGAGCGCAGTTTGGTGGAGAAAGAGTCAACATGGCTGCATGTGGGCGCTGTCGTACATTCGGGCTTAGGATCATATGGTGCACTATAAGCCCTAGAATCCCCGTACACCCTATACCAACCTACTGCACGGCTAGGCTTCTTGAAGCCTTCATCCTTGACAACTCCCCGGAAAAGAAACCCTTAAGTCGAAGAACGTGTGGCCAGCTCACGAAATTCTGACCCGTGGGAGAAAAACCCACCCCCTGGACCCCTAAAAATCCTAAGGTCCTAAACCCTGAACCCTAAAGAACCCTGCCCCCTAAGAAGCCTTAAAAGAAAAAAATCTTAAACACCCTCACAAAAAACCTAAAACACATCCCTTTTAAAACCCGTAAGAAAACCCAAAACAAAACTTTGGAAACCTGACACAGCCTTAAAGGCACCCTAAAAAATGCCCCAAACGCGAGACGGCCTTGAGCACGCCGTGGAGAAGCCTGGCAGCTACACTCAAGGGTTTAGGGTTTAGGGTTTAGGGTTTAGGGTTTAGGGTTTAGGGTTTAGGGTTTAGGGTTTAGGGTTTAGGGTTTAGAAAGAGGGTTTAGGCTGTAGATTCCGGGATGGAGGAATTCTAGCAAAACTAAATTTCCATGGGCAGATCAGGACTTAATCAGCCCCCCCGGATTTAGGGGATCACCTCAAAACCCCAAAACCTAGAGGGCCCTCTGATCTAAGGGTAGTTGCATGGGCCCTTCATCTGGTCCCTTATTTTCTTCAATGTGTTCTGAAGTATGGGCCCTTGGGTTTAGAGGGCTTTTGCGAGGGTTTTTAAGGGGTTCCCTTCTAAGGGCCCCATTTTCAGG